GTTCGTCTGGAAATACAGAGGGCAATGCAAGGGTTCACACAAAAGATTGTGGGACTGATGAAGAGTGAAAGTTTGTTTGAGTCTCAGGGTGGTCCCATCATACTCTCTCAGGTATATGAGCCTCTTCGATTTTCCGCGTTTCTCTTGATTTCGTGTTTGATGGTATTAAAGTATTTCAGTTGAGTTATAAGAATAGATGTTAAATTTGTTCATTTGGTTCAGATTGAAAATGAGTATGGAGCGCAGAGTAAGTTATTCGGAGCTGCTGGCCATAATTACATTACTTGGGCCGCGGAAATGGCGGTTGGGTTGGACACCGGAGTGCCATGGGTGATGTGCAAGGAAGAAGATGCACCAGATCCAGTGGTGAGCAATTAACACTCCTTATGCTGCAGATCTTAGCTTGTATAGTTGTATTGCTATACATTTCCTGTTATTTCGCATTCCTGCAATGGAGTACCAATTCTCAAGCTCTTAAAGTGTTTTATGACTCGTATTTGTATTAAAGTGGTCACTCAAATGTTTTGTGGATGGTGATGTGACAGATAAACACTTGTAACGGTTTCTACTGCGATTCTTTCTCTCCCAACAGACCCTATAAGCCTACGATTTGGACAGAGACATGGAGTGGCTGGTATGTTTGATATGCTTGTTTGCTTAGGAATACCAAGTTTGTTAATTTGCTATATGAAAATATATCCATTTGACTCTTTCTTTCAATATAATTGCGAAGGTTTACGGAGTTTGGCGGTCCAATTCACCAACGACCAGTTCAGGATTTAGCATATGCAGTTGCGACATTCATACAGAAAGGAGGATCATTTGTTAACTATTACATGGTCAGTTTCCATACACTGCTATTTTAAGGATACGAAAGATGTGCAGTATTAAAACCTATCATGGAAAACTGAATTCTTGTGTTTCCTTGTGAAACAGTACCATGGGGGTACCAATTTTGGACGCACGGCCGGGGGCCCTTTCATCACTACCAGCTACGACTATGATGCTCCATTAGATGAATATGGTGAGAATTAAAATATGCTTAAGCAAACTGATCTGGTGTCTCTGTTTGTGTTGTGAGATACCAGTTTACTGCATGTAAGTTTGGAACTTTGAGAATGTAGCTAACTGCTCCACTATAAATATATTAGGTTTAATCAGGCAGCCAAAGTATGGTCACCTCAAGGAGCTTCACAAGGCTATTAAGATGTGTGAAGGGGCTTTAGTATCAGCGGATCCAATCATAACTTCACTGGGGAATTTTCAACAGGTTTGCACCTTTATTCTCAAACTAGCGTTTGGTGTTTGCATAAGTTAATCTTGTTTACTAAATTCTTGGTATCTTTTGGCATTCCAGGCTTATGTGTACACTTCCGAATCAGGAGATTGCTCTGCATTTCTTTCAAACCATGATTCCAAGTCAGCTGCAAGAGTGATGTTTAATAACATGCACTACAACCTGCCTCCTTGGTCCATCAGTATCCTTCCTGATTGCAGAAATGTAGTCTTTAACACTGCAAAGGTATTTGACATTGAACATGTAAAGGACTATGATGCATCTATTCTGACAGAATCTGAGACCGCACTTTCGGGAACAGAAGTCTTTATCTCCTTTGAACATTGAAAGATTTAGAAGTTTTTGAGATTGAAACTTTTTGCCGTTCCTTCTTCTTAGGTTGGAGTTCAAACGTCACAAATGCAAATGTTGCCAACAAATATTCCTATGCTATCATGGGAGAGTTATGATGAAGATCTTACTTCTATGGATGACAGCTCAACAATGACCGCTCCTGGTCTATTGGAACAGATAAATGTCACTAGGGATAGTACTGACTACCTCTGGTACATAACTAGGTGAGAATTTCCTGAGACTAACTCTTTTGTTTATCACCATTCATGATTTCTCCAAAGCCGGTCTGCGTTTCCATTTTCTTTGAAGTATTTTTACCTCACACAAGAAAGATTTAGTAATGAATTTCTTAGAAAGCCTTTCAAAAGGGTGTTCCAATTTGACCAGCTTGGTGTGCAATTTGAAAAGACAAACAACCCTCACGTATGCCTCAGTACAGTGTTACATATGCCTTCAGTGACATCCTTCCTAACCTTAAAGATAGATATTAAAACATCATCTTTCTTTCAATGTGCCTGCAGTGTCGATATTGATTCATCTGAGTCCTTCCTGCATGGAGGGGAACTCCCGACCCTTATAGTTCAATCAACAGGCCATGCTGTGCACATCTTCATTAATGGACAGCTTACAGGTACAATTTTGATTCGCTTCTTGCATGGATATTATCTTGAATAACAATAAAAAAAACTTAACAAATATATAACAGGTTCTGCCTTTGGAACAAGGGAGAGTAGGAGATTCACATATACTGGCAAGGTCAATCTACGTGCCGGAACAAACAAAATTGCACTGCTGAGTGTTGCCGTCGGATTACCTGTTAGTATTGTTTGCCACAATTATTTTTTTTTTCTTATTCTATTTGTTCATCTTCTCTAATTCTGACAAGTTATTGTTGCTTGTTGAAGAATGTGGGCGGACACTTTGAGGCTTGGAATACTGGAATCCTTGGCCCCGTTGCACTTCATGGACTTAACCAGGGAAAATGGGACTTATCTTGGCAGAAGTGGACCTACCAGGTAGTCGATCTTACTTTGGAAATCAAATCGTTTTATTTTTCTATGAAAAAAGACAGTTTTCCTTACCCCTGCTATCCTAACAGGTCGGACTGAAAGGAGAAGCCATGAATCTTGTATCTCAAAATGCTTTTTCCTCTGTCGAATGGATAAGCGGATCATTAATTGCACAAAAGAAGCAGCAGCCATTGACTTGGCACAAGGTATGCAACTAAGGAAACTGGAACTCTATGTGGTAATGTAAAACAGGAGAACAAAATTATTAATACTCACTTAACTTTGCAGACTATTTTCAATGAACCTGAAGGAAGCGAGCCATTGGCTTTGGACATGGAGGGAATGGGAAAAGGCCAAATATGGATTAATGGGCAGAGCATTGGGAGATATTGGACAGCATTTGCGAATGGTAATTGCAATGGGTGCAGTTATGCTGGAGGGTTTAGGCCTACAAAGTGTCAATCAGGTTGCGGAAAACCCACACAACGATAGTAAGTAATGCTATGATGAAAACTTTGTATTTTTACAACGACAATTTTAGTATGAAAGTATGGCATAAACATTTAGTGGATTACTCGGCAAACAAATTCTCCTCTTAAATTCCATGTGAATTTCATTTTTTCAGTTATCATGTGCCTCGGTCTTGGTTAAAGCCAACTCAAAATCTGTTGGTACTTTTTGAGGAACTTGGAGGGGATCCCTCTAGAATTTCTCTTGTAAAGAGAGCTGTGAGCAGTGTTTGCTCCGAGGTTGCTGAATACCACCCAACAATCAAGAATTGGCACATCGAAAGCTATGGAAAAGTAGAAGACTTCCACAGCCCTAAGGTTCATTTGCGCTGTAACCCAGGGCAGGCTATCTCTTCCATCAAATTCGCTAGCTTCGGAACACCCTTGGGAACCTGTGGGAGCTACCAAGAAGGAACTTGCCATGCCACCACGTCGTACTCTGTAGTGCAGAAGGTACTAAACAATGCTATCTGGTTTTCCGAATCTACTAGTATTCATAACCCTCTTACTGAACCGTGTTCTGTCTTTTTATCTTTGATCATCACAGAAGTGCATAGGGAAGCAGAGATGTGCAGTCACCATATCCAACAGCAACTTTGGAGATCCATGTCCGAAGGTGTTGAAGCGGCTGTCAGTAGAAGCTGTGTGTGCTCCCATAACTTCAACAAACGTGGAACCCAATTCACAGGGTTAGTGAAAGAATGAGATAACATATCGTAATTGTTGCACCCTAGTGCCTTAATTATACACCACAGCAAGAGAAGAAGCGAGTAAACAAGAATAAGAGATCGAGTACAGCAACATAGCAAAAGCAGTTAGGTGGAGTGCCATAGTTTTTCCTTTCTGATGAAGAGTAGTAGTAGTAGTTGCTCTTGGTGAAGGGTATTTTCATATTCGGAGCCAAAGCGCAATTAGCTGTTAATTTAAGTTTAAAGGACTTGTGTAAGTAGTGATCTTGTTACTTAGGTGAGTTTGTATATACCTCGGGGTTCGACAATTCGGACCCTAGGGTGGTGAGTCAGGCTCCGGTACCCGGCCTTTTAACGGGATATATGGGCACTGGGAAATGATGTGTTTTCTGTTTGAGTGTTTTTACTGTTCATGTAGTGTTGGGGAAAAATGATGCCCCAAATCCAGTTAGGTAAAATGTAGGTTCATGTTGGGAGAGGATCCTAGTGTGACACCGTTTGTTTACGTACTGTGCAGAGAGTTCATGAATGAAAAGAATCCAAGTCTTTGTGTTGATGGTGTTGTTCATTTCATGGTGTTACTTCCTCTTGTTTTTGCTTGTGTCTGATGATGACTCGGAATTTCCGCACTCCTATTTTCTCCTCATGCAATTTCTCTCTATTTTTTAGCTTTTCGATGAAGGAATGAAAAAAACTAGTGCCGCAAGAAAAAAACTAAAATGTGGAAATCACTATCCGTCCATGCATTCCATGAGAGAGTGACGAGGCACATGACTAAGTAAGGGTAATTACCAACTTGTTAGTACCTTCAACAGTAAAAGTAAAATTTTCGGCTTCTGCTGTAAAGAGATCTTGGGACCCAAGATTTTCATGAGCACAAATTATACCCTCGACTGTAAAACTAAAAACATCCGAGACTCATGACAAACTTTTTAAAATTCTAAATGCCCTAATCCCATCCCAGGTTGCAGTTTGGAGAGAGACTAACATACAACCTAGCGTGTCTGTTTCTCTTATCTAATTGATATCACATAAAGAGAGAGATACAAAGGATATAAGATCCCATTACATATTAATTTCAACCTGCAATTCCGGCTCACTCACAATAGAGTGAGAGTGAGACCTGGTATTTAAACATGTACTTCACGTATCATAAAATAAGTAAAGAGATAAAAAAAAATATATTATTTCCTCTAAGTGCATTATAACATGTAGAGTATCCCTTGAATACTTGGTACCAAAAAATCTCTCCTTATATGGTGGTTTGTGGGTACACAAGACCAAGTGGTACCTAAATACAAAGGAACTCATTTCTTTGTGAGTAAATCCGACAGTCCACCTGGTCCGATGGTCAGACGCAAGAGTTCTCACCGTTAGGCCTTGTGCTAGATAGAATTTCCACATCTAGTAACAAATTATCCAAACCATGTATGAGCTAGATAGAACTGCATTTATGTAGCAACCATATGAAAAGTACCACTCACAATACTAAGGACGAAGTCAAGACTCAAAAGGTTAAAATATAAGTCTACATTACTTGCACATCATAAGGTCTGTGGCCATGTGTGCTTTGCTATAGTATAGTATAGATTGATCGGAATTTATGACATTCAGGCAGAAGCAGTGCCCACATGCTTAGCAATCGTCTGCTGCAGCTCGTCCTTCTTCGCTCCTACCACCTTGTCCACGATCTTCCCTTCTTTCAGGAACATGAACGTCGGCATTGCCTCTACCGCCCAGTCTTGCGCGACCGTCTACACCAAAGTTCACTAGCAAGTGAGTTTCTCTTACAGTATGCGGATTCTAAATCAAATTCTCTCTTTTGGAAACAAATGTCTTCATTTTGTTTTTGAATATTACGTACCTTCAATTCATCGACATCGACCTTTACAAATATGACTTCGGGCAGCTTCTTAGCCAACTCGGCCAAGAATGGTGCGATGAAGCGGCATGGTCCGCACCATGAGGCGGTGAAGTCAATAACCATCTGCATTTTTCATTGAGGAGCTCTCATGAGAAAGTAAACGACTAGCATATATGACAAATAACGTTTCCCTCAATCTGCAATCTTTCTAGCACTTAGTTTAACTCTATAAAACTCCACATTAAACAAAAATAGAACAATTAATTTGAGAATGTATAATCATGGAAACACTGTTGTTTTCGTTTTAAAATATGAAGAGAGACAATTGACAGTATGTATCGTTGAAACAAACGAAAGTTTTACTAAGCTCCGTGGATATATGACATGCCTCGGAGCAATTAATCTACAAGGATCTAATCAACAAGGATCCAACAGTCAAGGATCCCGGTACTTAAGTCTGCATACACTGGTGTATACTAGAAAGGAAATGATAACCAACATTTTTTTTTATCTCGTACACATTGTGTTTATTTTTGTCATCGGATTGAATAAACAAATGGAAACAACGGAAAAATTAAACAGAGGTATTTATGGGGAGAAAATGACTCCAAGCCAGAGGCAAATTAATGATGCAGTTCTGAATCCATTACCCTTTTAAGTCTTTTTCAACTTAGGATTATTCTTAATTTACAACCAAAAAGAAAACCTGGGATGAACATATGTGTCCTTTGTCTGCTCCCACATGTTAAAAAGTTAAAAGAAAATTTCTGGCTCTAATTTCCCAAAACCAATTACAAAAGAAAAATAAATACGATTGAATTTGTACAAAGGAGTTTTTTGAAATGGATCCAAAGTAACTAAAAATTGGACTTATTTCAAAAGTCAAAAGTCACTAAAAATTGAACATATTTCAAAAGGTAGTCTATAAAATTGGACCTATTTCAAATTTTCCCTTGTACAAATACAGAAGAAACGAAGCCAATTCATTGAACAATTTCACCAAAATGTTCTCCAAGAACGAATCAAGCGAAGAGATCCATATAATTTCCATGGAAAAGTAAAAAAAATTCAAAAGAAAATTCCAAAAATTCGAAAAAAACCCTATTTGCTAGGATCTCAGTGCCAATAATTTAGGACAATCACAAAAATCATAAGCATCTAACAAATATTTACGATTTGAACATAAATCTAGATTAACCAAACGAAACCCATTATTCAGATTCATTAAAAACAAGAACCCAAATCACTAAAAAACACAACGGAAAACCAAATCGAAATTACAAAAATCAAACAAATCTTTCATGAAAAAAAGTGTAATGAATTTGGTGCAATTCAAAAGAATACCAGCTTCTTGGAGTCGTTGCCTTTTTGGAGCTGCTGCTCCCATGCCTCCACAGTGTGGCAGCTGAAAACTTGTCCCTCCTCCGTTGCCATTTTTCGCTCTGTAAAATTTTCTCGAGAAACAAACAGCTAGAAAATAACACCTCACAAAATAAACGTAATTCCCATGGGTGGGATATAAGTACTGTGAAAAAGGAGAGATTCCCATGCAACGTACGGACGGGAACGCGTAATGCATGCAGATGGCAGGTGGGGCTTTTACTGTGAACGTATTGCGCACAAACCCATGGCATCATCTGTGGGCATTTAATTCCAACTGTTGGATCCTAAGAACTTGACCTAATTAATCAAGAGCATCATATCCATTGGTTCGTATTTTATTCTTTTGCCAATCAATGGGGGCAAAAAAAACCAAACTTAGTATCACTAGACCAATATCATTAGACCAATAACTAGTTGGTATCATAATAAAAATTAGAAAACGACTTGCATTCGTTAATAAGAATGATTTGGTTGAGTGTTCCAAGGATTAGCTCAAGTAGTGACGGAGATATTGATAAGACTGATTCTTTTCAACGTTGCAAAGTAATTGAATCGGACTATGTCGCATAATTGGTATAGCACAAAAATTTCTATCATATGAAAACGGACAGTTCACTTTTCTGTTTTTGGGAAGGGTTTAATAAGAAGCTTTTGTGCATCAAAAATTTGATGAGTAAATATTGCTAATCACTTAAACTACAACCCCCTTGACATTTCTTGGCAAAGGGATATTTGGTTAACCATTGTGTTGAAAATTCAATCCTAATTAATTTGTTGAACGCCATTACTACAATAGGATTGATATGTTTTACATTTTTTTAGAACTAATCCATATTTGTGGTCCAAAAATTCCACATCCTACCAAACATAATTACGTATCAAATATTATCACATAACTGTAACGGAATTACACCCTTATTATTCTACCACCGGTTAGTCTAAGAACTTTCTTAGCACATGCAAAGGAGAGTTAAGCCAATTAGCATGCAAAAGAGCGTTAAGCCAGTTAGTCATTGCAGTATGCCTGTGTCTTGCACCCCAAATTTAAATCTCATTCTCCGTAAGCTAGAGTATTCCAATCTAATAACTTTCTTCCATTATATACTACAAAACTGGACCACGACCATGGAGTTTATTTTTGTACATTCGATTCGTGGAACACATGCCTTCTTAAGATAAAAGAGACGCTTCGAAATTAAGAGGGAAAATATGTTCTTTATAATGTCGAAAGTAGCTAACAAATGCAACTGTTCTATACATTTGAATCACGTTTCTAAATCCAAAGTTTTTGTACGAAGACTTCAAATAGCAGAATCTACAATTGGATCAAACTCTTGAAACAGTACGTACCAAGAAGAAACCAACCGACAAGAAAGGCGGTGAAGAAACCTAAGTACTTTAGGAAGGTTGAACCTGCTAATGCAACTCCGAGACAGAATGTTATTAAAAACGGTAGTAAGGACTGCACCACGGCTGCTGTGCTCACCCACTGACCCTTGAGAAAGATCAGAGCTGCAAGGTTCACCACATTCCACCCACCAGACCGAAAGCCTAACCTGTTTAGGTTGTTGGCTACAAAGGAGTGGCAATTGCAGGTAAAAAGGTTGTAAGCTCGGTGTTGGAATTCCTGAGTGCCCTTCCGGAGCGCATCATCCCATGTCTTTATGTCGCTTCGAGGTTCATTCTGCCCATATTGATCCTCACTTAGGTACTCAGACGGATCGGGAATAGCGCAACACTGTTTGTCAAATTTTAATGAGCATAAATGAAGCAGGAACGAGAAGGTTATACGGGTTCAGATATGAAGAGTGCATGTACCTTTTCTTTGCTTATTTGGATGTAGCGAGTCGCTGCTCCAAAAGCAAAGTTATCCACGAACACGAAATTGGGCCCCGCAAAGTCCAATATCACACCATCTTCCCTGCATATGCCAATGTGGCCAACAAAAGGAATCAACCATGAAACAACAGGAAGGGGTGTCCACACAATACAGCATGGGAACCGGGATCTTTTGGGGTCAATTTGCAATGTCGGTGAATCACTTCTATCAATCATCAAGTTGTGCTCGGGGCCTGCACTTGTTTCCATTGCCAAAATTGGAAAAGCTGCTGAATTGTCTCAAAAACATTAGACACTTCTCAAATATGAAACTAGTTTATCTTAACTTTCACAGCCGAAATGGAAAGACACTGCCAAAATTAAAGGCAACAACTATTAGACAGAATTTTCAAATCGTGTTATGTACAAGATAAAATGGAATGCTTTCTGAACATCTTCTGGCCAAACATTCCTCAAGTCATATACCATTGCAAGCAAGCACATAAATCTCTCAACCAGATAAAGTCTAGGCATCTGATGGAAAATATTTTGGCCCGAAAACAAACTGCTCCGATGCACACTCCATGCACTTCCGAAATGAAATTGTGAATCACATTGTAACAAGCAGCATAGTTCAGCAGATCAATAAACAGAAAAAATGTAGGAGGTCCCGGGTTCGATGCTCTGAGCTGGTGAGTCTGCTTGACTGTGGGCACGGGTAAGGTGAAATTCCTCATAGCCTCTCCGGGCCTAGAAGGGGTGATAATCATGACTTGCCAACAGTTGTCCTCCTTTTTTCTTGGCAAAAAATATTAGGAGGCACAAAGAGCTCTAACTAAACTACGCAATAGCGTATTATCAATGAATCACAAACAGAAACGATTATCCATTATCGAGTTGTGGTTGTCTAGTATTTCTCCTATGTAAAATGGCATGTGGTCGAAATAGCTCTGCATCCAACTCCTCTCCACATAACAAACTTGTCCCAAAAAAATATGGGGATGAACATAATTTGGAAGCTAGCCCAAATTCAAGTATGCATCATAACCTAGCAATTTCCCAGTAAACATAGAATTCAGGTTACAATACTTACATATATTTAATATAAGCACCCCCTCGATGGTCAGATTGAAATATATCCAACAGTCATATGATGATTTCATTAAATACATGCAAGTATCATAGCCATTCCGACATTTGAAAAACCAATATACAAATTGTTACTGGCGTATTTTGAAAATACCAATGTTTAGCTTTATCTTTACCATACAAAAGAGGACCAATTCAGCGGTAGTGGCATAACCAAGTTGGTTAGTGTAGTATACTCTCATTTTCAATTCCATTTCGAATCTTATAGTTTAAATTAAATTAGAATATGGCTCGAATAAAAAAATTCACCAACTTCCTTATCAGTTAGGAACTCTAATTAAACATCTTTAATCACCATTTCTAGCTAAAGTGAAACCACTAAAAGGCGTGGAAGTATCAGAACAAATCAAACACCGAATACTAAGAGAAACCGTCAGGAAAAGTTAAAGTGGTACAAGAACTGTGGCTAAATGTAAGAGTAGTAACACAAACACAAATCGTGGAGACAGAGGAAGAGGGGCAGAGGGAGTACCTTTGGATGGGCAGCAGTGGAGAAAATGAGCGCAGCACCGCGGGCGGTTGTTGAGGCTTCAGATCAAAGCTGAACCGGGGGCGTATAACTTGGGTCAAGGAGAGTTGGGATCTAGATCTGGCATTCGTATCGTGTTTCTTGTATTCGTATCGTTTTTGTATCATACTCGATAGCTTAACGGGTCGTGTCGTGTAATACCCATTAAAGTAAACGGGTAATATGACCCGATCCGAAATCAATCCGTTAATATTATCAGGTAATATAACTCGATCCGTTATCCGTTAAGAAAAATATATCATAAATCAATAAAAATGAAAATGAAAAACATAATTTGACCCAAAAAAATGTAAAACATAATACTAAATTAGTATATACATAGGAGTTGATCCTTCATAAAAGTTGTAAAGCTTTTCATTATGAGTGATTACATTTTTTACACTTCTACAATAATTATTATTAATTTTGCACTCAAATAAAAAATACTGTTCATGAGATTTGGAGAGTTTTAAAAATCTAAACGACCATGTAACCATCGTCTAAGCGTTGATGATGCAATTATGAACGTTTATTATGCTTTCACATCTTTCATACTTATACATTAATGATTATGAATTTTGTTTATTTTGAACTTCTTTAAAAATACTATTCATGAGAGTTTGTATGGTTTTAAAAATTCAAACGATCATATACCTATCCTCAAAGTGTTGATGATGCATATTTTTTTTCATATTTTTCGCACATGTAAATTAATTATTATAATTTTTTAATGTGTTTGGTATTTTTAAATTACTTGATATTTTTATTTTTAATGTGTTTTTGATTTTTAATCTCAATCTTTGCCTATAATATACTATAAAAATAAATAAGTGAATAAAACTTAAATTTTAAAATAATAATAGAATAATAATTAATAAACAATATATGCATATTCATTATATCTATTGTATTTTATAGTAAGTTTATTTTAGTAGTTTAAAAAATTAAAATCAATGAAATAAATTTTTTCTTATCGTGTCGAAACAGGTTACTCATGTGTCATTCTCGTGTAAACCTATTAAGAACCCGTTATTAATGGATATTATCGTGTGATCCGATAATGATCCGATTAGTTATCGTATTGACCCGAAACTTATTATTTTCGTGTCGTGTTAACAGATCATATAAAAAATTGCCAGGTCTATTGGGATCTGCCTGTTTCTGGTGATTTTGGCTTGTTTAGTTAGTGGGTTAGTATTAACCCAGGATTAGATATCTCGTCTTGACAAAAATGGTAGGGGAATCATTTCCTCCTATCCCTTTTACTCCTTGCACTCTTCCCTTTATAATTATTTCGTTTTTAAATTTTTATCTTTTTATTTTTAATTTTTTATAAATGAAGAGATTAGACATTTTACAATAGACTAAAAATAATGTGGTTTAAATTTTGATGAAAATTGAATCTAAGATCTCTCAATTATTTTTTGTCGATAATATTGAGAGATTTTAGATTAATTCTTGTTAAAGACAAATTTGAATCATTTTGTTAATAGTCTATTGATAAGCTAAATTAACACCGATAATATTTTTGGTTCCAAAAAAAAAAAAAAAAAAACCTTTCGTTTGATAATTTCTTTTAAATTAAAAAAATAAAAAATTGAAAGGGCAAAGCAAAAGGAAGTTCC